GGTTACCGTATCTAGTGGGAGGTCTCGAGTTTGAAACCCGCTAGGCACATAAGGGTTCGAAACTCAATGGAGTAAGTTTCAGCACTAATTAGTCCAGGCTCCAACCAGCCCCTCCCCTAGACCCCCTGGAGTAAAAAAAAAAAACCTCGGCTCAATTGCTTAACCGAACTCGAATCTAGTTTGAATTGACCGAACTCGAATCTAGTTCTAACCTAGAGACTCACGAGTAGCCCACTCACGATTTGACTCGTTTGATATTGTCAAATGAGGACAAAGTCATTTCAGAGTTCAGACTAGAAGGTCAAACGTATTTGAACATTCAACAGGGGATCAACTTGTACGCACAAGCATTTTTCATTGAAGTCCCAATGTGTGCAAGGAATTCAAAGTCATACATTACAACACATCTGGATGAACGTGTAGCCACGCATTTCTGTGTACTGATTCTTTTGAGCTGTGAACAACTTTGCCATTTGATAAACTTACAAAGTACACTATATCCAACAATGCACAGGAATCAAGATTGGAGGGTATGAATAAGAAATACAGCTTCACAGAAATCACCAGTTGCTTTGGTGCTACAAGTTAAACAACGGAAAGGTTCATGAACCAAATAGTACACAGCCATAGGAATAATTAGTACACCAATTTTCAGTTACATATTTTACAAAACATCTCAGGTTTGCAGCATAGGAGAATTCTTCATATCTTGTTCGTTGAGAATAAGAGGAAATTCATCATATTGTTCAGACACACCATGATGAGCAGCAGCCATTTTCTTCAATGCCTCGGAGACCTGATACATTGACCACCTATCCTTGGGTTGAGAAACCACACAATGGCAAGCGATTCTCAAGAACTGCACAATCTCTTCTTCATTCCCCTTTCCACATAAGCACTTATCGATTGCATCTTTTACACGGCCCGATCCCATGAGCCGGTTGACCCAGTCGACAAGGTTCCCTTTGAGCCCTTCTTCAGCAACACTGACTTCAAGCGGTTTTTGACCTGTAGCCAACTCCAAAAGCACTACCCCGAAGCTATAGGTGTCTCCTTTTGTTGAAGGAACCATTGTGCTTGCATACTCTGGGGCCACATACCCGAACTCACCCGCATTCCCATCTACAAAGCTACTCTCATTTGCGTTGGATGATGTTGCTGCTGACATAAGCAGCCTAGCCGATCCGAAATCCATTATCCTAGCATCAAAATCCTCATCCAGCAAAATAACATGAGAACTGAAATTCTGGTGTATGATTGGGGGTTGGCAGCCGTGATGTAGCCAAGCAAGTCCCCTGGACGCTCCTAAACCGATTCTAAACCTAGTTGGCCAATCTAACATGCTTGGGTTTCCATGTAAGACAGAGTACAGGGTCCCATTAGAGAGGTGTTTATACACCAAAAGCTTTTCTTCTTCAACCGTGCAGAACCCTAAAAGTGGGACCAAGTTTGGGTGCCTGAGTTGGCCTAACCTGTTAACTTCCACCCGAAAATGCTTCTCACCCACCTTGCAATAGCTTAGCCGTTTGATTGCTAAAGCAGATCCATCACGAAGAACCGCTTTGTAGGTTGTTCCAGTCTTGGTCGAGCTTATGATGTTCTCTTCACCAAAGTTATTAGTCGCAGCCAACAAATCAACCAACTTAAGCTTCACGAGTGGCTTCTGGAACAGCACAACTTGAGCCAGCTTGTGATCTCTGAATATCCCAACCCAACTATAACCTCTCTTTGTCATATTTGCCGACTTTGTGAAATACCAATACCACATGCCGAAACCTAGCAACATAGACGCAGCAGCACCAAACACCCCAGCTGCAATTATTATGGCTAAATTCTTCTTGCTTAATCCCCCACATTTACCCGCTGGACCACCACAGAGTTTATTTCCCGCAAAATCAAACACAGACGGATCTGAACTGTCGAAAGATGACGGTAGCCTACCAGAGAGGTCATTATTTGCCACAGAAAATTTCTTGAGCCTACCCAAACTAGACAACTGGGAGGGAATATTTCCGGTTAGTTTGTTACCGTCAAGTACGATCATGTTCAAATACTGGCAACTAACCAGATCTGGGGGTATTGTCCCAGTCAAATGGTTGTTTGATAAATCTAGGGTGACTAAATAAGGCAACCAATGGCAAATTTGAGATGGTATAGTACCAGAGAGTCCATTTCCGGAGAGATCGAGGCTCTGTAAGTTGTGGCAGTTTTGCAAGGCGCCGGGGACCACGCCACCAAGGTTCATATCCTGAAGTGCTAAGTTGATCACGCGGTTCTCATTGTCATTCCAGCACGTCACGCCGACAAACTTGCAGATGAATCCGGATGTCGTGTTTTGGAAGTCCCACAGGGCCAAGCTCCCGTCCGGATCCCTCAATGAACTTTTCACACCTTGCAAACACTTGATATCATCTTCTGCTCCTCCAATTATTATCAACACCAGAAGAATTGTAGACTTTAAGAAGCTGGATATATGAAACGGGATCATTCTAAAGCTGTTCTGTTATTGACTCCAAGCGATTTGAGTATTTGACTCTTCCGCTAGAGAGCTTTGGTACATAATTGAATGGTGCGATGCATAGACTTGGAAAGTCGAACTGTGGAAATGGTAAACGAGTTATGGGAAAAAAAAAGGTGCTTTAATCACAAATGCATCCAAATAAATTTCTGTCTTTTGCTTTTTTAAAGATTCAAATATTCAAATGCTATAGTTTGCCTCTATGATGAATAAATCAACCTAACATTATTCTCAAAAAAATCAACCTAACATTAGCCAGCTAATAAAAATGGCATTCTATTTAGAGGGTTGGAGTTTGCATACTAATTTTCAATCCAAATTTGAGTTTGCACCCCCATTTTTTAAATAATTAATTTTTGCAAATACTAATGATTTAAAAAGGGGCACAAACTAAAATTTGGGTACAAACTAAAATCCCCCCTTTCATTATGCTTGTTAAATTCATTATTCATTATAAATAAATGAGATCCATTTCAGAACTTGTTTGATACGGAGCCAAGAATACACAGACCTTGAACAATAAGAATCTCCTTTGGTAAAAGTGTATACATAAATTTTCTCTTCCTAAGCAATAATTAATAAGAAAAAAGCTGAAAAAACAGACTTCTTAATGTAACAGATAGAAAAATTACAAAACTGGAAAAAAAATGTATACTCCTAATATAGATACACACGGAGTATATATCTATATACAACTGGAAAAAACAGATCAAAAAAGAAACAAAATATATATAGCTGAATTTCTCTTTTTCAAATAAAAATACACAAAGTGGGAAGTATATAGATTCTGCAGAGTGGTGTTTGATACGTCTTAGAAAATATAGGTCGAATAGAACATGTGAAAAGCAGTGTTTCAGATTTGGAAATTTGACCATAGATCTAAAAGCTCATAAATGGTAAAAACAGGTAATAATTGTGTTTCATATCTGCGCACTTGGAACAAGGAATACTTTTAGTTCTGAGAAAAATTGATAAGGTTGGGAAATGAAGTAGCGAAGACTGTGGAAGAGGAAATACCTGCAGAAGGATATGCTAAAACTGTGAGTTGTGGAATGGCCAGAGGCGAAGAAAACTTGTGGAAATTATGGTATGGAAATTATTTAAGAAAGATGTCAAATGTAAAGAGAATTTGGGCTTAAATTGAAACTTAGAATTAGAAAATGGGCCCAATATGTTAACGAACCGTGTGGAATAAGTCCATGGCAATGATTCATTACCTACTCCTGCTGGGTAAAACTAAAGTTTATTAATTTTCTTTTACATGCATGTTCTTTGTCATTTTGTAAACACTGGTTGTTGTATACTTGTATGGTGCACTGCGCGAGTATATTAATGCCCAATGTAATCTATAGTATTGAATTTTTTTAAAATTACTTCTTCATTTATAGGGGCGTAGCTAAGGAGGGGCTTGGCCCAGGCCAAATTTAAAAAATTTCTATATTTTTTTCCAAAAATATTCTTTGTAGCGGCATAGTTCGATCAAGTGCCCTGACTCTGCCCCTATTCATTTGCAAAAAAAATATAAAAGATCAATTCGTCCATTGCGTTTCACCTAACAGTTCTGAGGTTTGAGTTTGTATTTTTGAAACTTATAGGTGTATGAAGTCTCATATTAGAGGGAAACACATTCTAAATGCAATATCATGTAACATTGTTTGAGAGTAATGAAAAACGAGAGTACATTTTAAATTGTAGATCTCCCTACGCTTATTTAGATTGAGCATTTTCTTCATATCCTACTCATCTAACTTGCATTTGTTTGATGGAGCCAAAATAGTATACACAAATTTAGTACTAAATTTTTCATATGTAACATAATACACAGCATATATATTAGATTAAAACTGAAATGCCAGATTTTAAGAGGTTTATATTGCAAATTTTCAAGTCTATACAAAACATAATTATAAATACTACACAGTTCTTATACATTTTACTATTAACGTATAGGCACTATAGGCTATGCATGTCATTATTTATAGTGACATATTAGCTCCCATATTTTAAAAGCATAGAAATAACTTTAATTTAAGGCAGCTTTCCATTTGCGCATAATTTAACTTCAAGATTAGTGTCTAATCTTAGGAATTCATTTAGTAAGCTATCAATCGGCATTTCCATTTGAGCTACAATGACAATACCATATACCCACCCACTTATGTGAACCTCTACTAAATCTATATTTATCTTTATAAAAATCTTTGATTAGTACTTGACAGACTCTCATGTGATGATGAAAAATAACATAAAACAATTGCGTTAATGTAAATTGATGTTGTCCTTATCACAAATAAGATCAACATTTTGTTTTTAGAGGGAAAGAAAAATGAAATTGCAAATAAAATAGGTAGCACCTAATTCTCATGGACCATATTCCTTTATCTTATATACAAATCTCGCTATAGCTGTATTAGAAAACACGCATTGAAGTTTACACTCTTCAAAGTGCTGAATAATTGTAAATGGGTATATCCAAGGAGTAAAAAAAATGAATTCTGACGGGGGGCTGTTGTGCAACATTCATACTTTGACAGAAAATGGTGCCGAATCTTCTACTTTAAAACATTGCTCTTGATGAGTCCTTTGCGCAGCAAGTTGACAGACATCTAAGGAAAGTAACTTTTTGAAAGATTCATATGATGCAAAGAAAAGAGCACCTTGGGTAACATACATTGCCAATCGCGGAGTCAGGCCTCTGTAGAGACCAGAAAGACCTTCATGTTTTATTTTTTTTTAAGGGTGTCGAGAACACCGCCATACTGTTTGGAGCAAGGAACCTGTGTTTGCAGCCTTGTCTTCACTACATCAAAAGGTGTTGTGAACAATGCAGCCATAGATCCAGATAATCCCCCACAAACAAGTGTTATTACAGTGTTGTTTTGATGGTCAAATTTCACGGGTGATGACATCAATTGCTTCAAGCTCTCATATGTGTAGAACTTGATGATTGAGTGTGGGACGTTGCGACAGAGAACAGCTCCCCACCCAACATATAATGACGGCAACCCGCCATTTTTAATAATACAAATACACGCATCCCAGCATTTTTTATAGTGTGAATGGACTTGCATCTGTTGTTTAATATGCTCACTTGGAGTGAAAATGAATGAAGTAGCAACACTTGCGGAACCCCCTGCAATGCAATGGGCTAAAGATTGATACTCCGTGTGGAGTAAAAGAAGCAATGCTCCCTTAACAAATTCATACGTGAAAGTGTAAAGTGCAGATATTGGTGCTGAAGAAGCAATATTGCTCCAAATTCCGCGGTAAAGTCACATTATGCCTCTTTCAGAGATCACCAATCGGCCTATGTAATATAAAGATTTCCGATCTGCATGACATGACTGAATGATGGTCTTAATTGTATCCATGGGGTGAAGACATATGCTGACACAAATACCCGCCATTGCTCCAGCAAAAGCATGTTCTCGTTTCGCAAGTGATTGGCATTGGTGCTTAGCTACTACATCAATCTCTGACTCCGAATTTAACTGTTGATTCAGACCATTCTCATCCAACCCAGTTTCTAGACCATGGCAAAAGTCTTTACCATGTTTTGAGCATGAAGTAATAATATCAGAGGCACTACCACTACTATGAAGATCTAAATTTTGACCTAACATTGAACTGATGGGTTTTACATCAGTGTGGCAGTCAGTATTTCCAGTGTTTAAGTTTCCTGAGAAGCAGTTATGAAATCTGTGGTTTTGAATCCAAGAAGAACCTAAGTTTGATTCACACAAAGCTATCTGGCTCATCCATCCATAAACATTTTCAAGATCATATGATATCCTTTGACTGGCAAGATCTATGCCTTTACTTCTCGTGTCCAGTACAATGCGAAGTGATCTCCACAAACTGTATCTCACATTACAAGATTCAAATAATGGATAATTCGTATTAGCACACAAACTTTCTAGATTTTGTGATGTAAGCAATGAAACGCCTTTGTCAATGCACAGATGGGTCAGGGTTTTCCCTCCGCCAGATAAGGAAGGCACAATATGAATATCCCCCACAGGGAATACATTAATTAGACTATTTTCCTGCGGATCAAGATTTCGGTGAGAACTCTCACTGGATAAGATAAATGAAAGAGGAAGAGCTGCAGAACTCCATATAGAGCCAACTGACAAAATAAGCTCTCTTTTGGTCATTATTTCTTGAGGTTTGAGTTCAGTAGGGTTGTTATTCTGCTTCTTATTCTTTTGTGATAAAGAGAAATCCGCATGTCCAAAGAATGCCCCCTCATGTGAATAACACCTATATTTAGTTGACTGTTTGTCACCCTTTGGTTCCTGACCGCACCAAGGCATTTAGTTACAAAGGCTCAGAAATGCCAAGTGACGAAAGTGCAACACGATGCAGAATATCAGTGTTGCAAAACATCCCAATCCACCACACAACCAAGCCAATGCTTCATACTTCCCGACAGTATCAGCATGAATTAAGATGCTACGGCTAAAATTAAAGATTGACACCAATTGAAATAGAAGAACCGCTGAAGTGATCTATTGGCCAAAGTGAAGGTCGACCTTCGATTTGTCAAGCAGTCAAACCTTCAAAGTGTCTCATCATGGACTCAGTTAGCTGGATTGTGATCAGCAAGATAAGAAAGTGGAAACCAATCCAAAATTGACTTTGGCTGTTAAATCCAGAGCGGCATGGATTCTTCACGTCATTCTCATATGAAATTCAAAAATAAGGTCGGCAATCAAGAGGTTAACTTTAAAAAAATAAGAGGTTAGAAAATAGAAAAATAAATAATATTCAGGCATTAGCAATATAATGCAACTGAATCCTGTTTTTGGAATGAAAAAACAGTGATGAGCTGATCTAGGTAAATGCTACTTTATTTATTTTAATTTTTTTAGAAGATTAGTTTAAGATAGTACAGAAGAAAAGAACAAAATAAAATAAAGTAGGATAAAAAATGAAGTTTAGAGGGATTAAGAATACCAGACCAATTCAAAAAGGGCATGGATTTTAAGAATAATCAAAAGCTCATGATGATGCTAATCATTGCAGATTATGAAGAACACATTACAAAATAACCATAAAGCTTCATTGATCAATTATCTGTAGAAAAAAAGTGAAAAGCACATTCCACGAGTACGACTATATGGATTATCTATAGGCTATACCAGATATGAATTCGCTATAAGCAAATAACATCGACTTGAAATAAATAAATAAACAAAAAAGAACTAACATTCTGTTATTCTGTATAATCATGAATATGTGGTATGATTTATGATCAAAGCATCTAGGGTCAGCTACTAATTTATATATTAGCAGTAGACTTAATTTATAATTCTGTCTGTTATAACAACTACGTTTGTTATATAGATTAGTTTATCCTGACTAAACAGTTTGAGTTTTTAAAAAATTCTACCTATTATTTTATTTTGGCAGGCTTCGATTCTTAATAGGGCTTAAGTGGTTAAACCACCTTTGTGTAATTACTTGTAGTCTTTGTAACATAAGCTTGAAGGCTTTTTACCCTTACAAACTTAAGTGTCGCCAATAATAGTGGGGCACTGGGCTTACATTGTTTTCAGTGTTATCACAATTCACAATATTCATGAACTCTTCTTAATGGCTAAAATCCTTACAATGATTAAAAATCTCTTGAAAGTTGTTATTAGGTTTAAGTTTTCAGCTCACAACTCTATTAAAATCCTAATGAGAATGTTTAATTTGAGATGTCTGTATTCCTTCTAAAGTAACCTCTTGAGAAACATATAAACTTTTGCAGTTGTCATAAAGGAACATTCCAAGAAGTTAAGGCATATTAATGGTCCAAAGAAATTAGTTTCTTCATAAAGCCTTGAACTTAATACGTAAAATAGAGGGGTTTATGAGGATAAAAATGCAGGCATTTAGAAGAAGAATAACTACACTCACTATTACTTTTCAGCCCACAACTCTAGCAGATGTCTAAGGAGAAAGTTTAATGTGAGATCCATTTATTCATTCTAAAGCGAACTCCTCAGAAACATCTTATGTTTTTCAATGGACACTAAAACATGTTAGTATAAATTTCACATTGAAAAAGGAAACTGATTTGATACTGAGTATAATACTGCCTATTACCTACCAATAACTGGTACACAGCGTTTCATATTGATTGCCACTAATATTATATTGAGGCAATTTTTTAAAAGAAATTGAAGTGCCGAGTGCGAGATAACCAACCCATCCATCTGCTCACATTTTGCATAAAAATTAGATGTTTTATATGAGAAATTCTTTGATGGGCAATTGCTTGAATTTGTGTTTCTCAGTTTGCAAGAAAGGCATTTAGGGTCATTTATGTGAGAGTATAATTAACATTTCTTTCTTGGACGCATGAAAAAATAATGCATGAAACTTCCTGACATATGAACTGTTGACAAATTCAGAAGTGAAACTTTTTTGATGGCTTCTATTAAGTATCAAAGTGTGGTTTCTTAAAAAGTTAAAAAATTAAGTATCAAAGTCATTATCATGTTGTAAATGGAGCAAGTGTAGTTGCAAGCAAATGCCATTCTTTATTTTCTTGTTTCAACTTTCCCTCAACTTGATATATTATTATTGTAGTCTAGGTAAATCAATACTTATGTTTGTCATTTATCACGTCCCAAGTACTTTTACATTTGTTATGGAGTCTGTCGTATGTTGAAATAAGGTTAATCTTTTGGGGAACATAAAAAAATTGATATTGAATATTATCATGCATTGAGAATACAGATAAGAAAAAAGGCACTAAGTTTTAAAGAAACATCAATAAAATAGTAAATTTTATGGTCATACGCTTAATCATTATCTTAGCAAATTTGGGTTTAGGAAAAACACAGAAAATTCTGCTCTTCAATAACATACCATGTACTTTGTTCCTGGTTTCGGCTTCTAGTGTTTATATACATGTGCCACCTAAAGGAACAGAAAATTCAGCTCCTCAATAACATACCATGTACATTTTTCACTAAAGGGTTTACATTTTAAGGGGTGTGATGGGGTATCCTAAAAGATTAAAGGGTTTACACCCTAAATCCACAATACAACTGCTTAGTCACTTATATTCATATATATTATCCTTTAATTAACCAGCCACTAAACTAAACTAAAAGAAGAAAACAGACTTGAAGTACATTTAGAAGAAATGTTGCGGGACCACATCCATATACATCCATTACTATATTACCATTTTGTTTTATATTTTGATTTAGAATCTCATCTCTTCTACTTAATTGAACAAACTTTTAAGCATTTTAAACACTAAATTTTATGAGAGGGGTACATATAAGTAATGACTATTGACATATTCATGAAATTGGCAATCAACGAGGCTGTATATTTTTTTTAATCGAATACAAGTGTAAGGTAATATATATTAATCTAGTGCCAGATATGGAAAATGAGATAGATGAGGTTGAGATAGGGAAAGAGTCACACTTGGAGGATGCTTACCACTTTGCAAATATGCTGGTGTTCAATTCCTGCCATTGATTGTAAGGCTGCATTGAATACCCAAATGGTTCGTAAGCAAACACCCTCAAACAGCATTTGGGAATATGAGGGTATAGAGATCAAATGGATCAATGAATGGACCAATGATGGAGATAGTTCTGCACACAAACAATGAAAAAGCGAAGGAAAAGTTGGAAATGTTTCAGCCTTAAAACCCAATTTTAAGATAATGAAAAAATCGCTAAAACTGAAATTGTTGCACAAAAAGATACCGGGTGATTATTCTCTGAAGCTTTAAACATCATTGTGTGCACAAGCTATATTGATAATAAGTGAAGGCATAAGCTAGCCTTCAAATGCATCAAATACAAAATGACCATATTTAAAAAGAGATGAAAATTAGAGAGGGATGAGATCATTAAAGATACATGATCCAGCTTCCATTAGTACATATACGACGTAGTGAAAGGAAAATCCTATATTAGAATAACAAAATAATAAAATAGCATGTGAGGGTGCGGGGTTATCATCCACACTTTGATTATAATTAGAGTACTTGCATGTAAAAGGTCAAGAAAGCCTCACGGGTGGTGTATCTGTTGTAGTAAAGGAAATACAAAGACAAAGGCTAGTAGGATGGAATTATTCTTGTAAAAAGTAAATTCAACTCCTAAAGTTCATATACATGTGCCACCTAAAGAAACATAAAATTCAGCTCCTCAATAACATATCATGTACTTTGTTCCTGGTTTCGGCTTCTACTTTTTTAGATTATAAGGTTTGATAGGATAGTTTGGTAGTCATTCACTCATTCTATAAGATAGCATTCTTTATCCTAATTCTATTATCTTTTTTCTCATTGGATAATTATACTTTTCATATTCATATACACGAAACACAAAAATGTTCTAAAATCTCATTTAGACATATTCACAAACACCTAGTATGTATGCTTCAAGAAGTTTTATTTGCCCTCCTAAATTACGTTCATACACACTCAAATACTGTAAGAAATCTTAGTTAAGCTAATTCACACTAACCAAACACGATCGAACATTCAGATAAACTCCACACTTGCTTCTAGTCCATCTATTCATAATCAACTTTATTGATTCATTTTGGCAAAACCTTACCCTCATTCTCATAACCTATAGCATTGGTGGGAAATTCAGGAGGATGTTTGAATGAGATTGTTGTGAATTTGAGAACCCAACAATGTAACTTGGTTATCTAAATCAGTCGTGACGTACCACTAGTGTCGGGAAGCTGTGAAGCTAAAGGCAACTAAAGTGGGATTGTGGAAATGAGAACCCTGGGAAGAAAATAAGAAATAAAAAATGGCACTTACCACTCTAATAAATGACCATACATCCATAATTGTATGATGCTTCTAAGTTCTAAGCATACATGTACAGACAGGCTGAGGCCGAGCACCTGAACCCTCAATTTTTTCACTGTGATGAAACAGTACCCGCCAAATCTTCATAAACCAAATGTTTTTTGAGAGGAATGTCCATTCCATATACACAAAAGATGTTTATAGTTTATACCACTTGTATACTCATACACGAATGTTTTTTTTTTACACGAATGTTTTTTTATTTGTGAGTTCTGTTAAGTAGGGGTGGACAAAGACCCGGTCCCGTTGGTCCATACCGGAATGTTCCGGTTCTGGTCCGAAATTGTCTCGTTATGTTTGGGACACATAATTTTTGTCCTGTGTCGGACCCGAACCGTTCCAAAACAAAACGGGACTGGGACAATTAAAATATATCTCGCTCCGTCCCGTTATCCCGAATCTAAAATTGTACTTTGTAGATTAATGAGTCTATCAACATCTCATGATGTGATCCAAATAATATATTTAATTTATTTTAGTAATAGTGGTTAAAAAATACTAATAATTATCCTTTTACATTTACACCAAATAATAATTATCCTTTTTAATTATAACTTTCGTTTTTTCACAACCCAAATACCAATGTTTATTAAAATATTAGTTATTTAACAACATACACACAAAAAATACCTAGAATGAACTATGAACTATATATCGTTTATCAACAAAAAAAGAAAATGATTTTTACTCCCAAAGGCTTCACTTCTTATTGTATTCTTTTATCATTTCTTGTTTTACGGATTTCTTGATAGTTTTTTGTCTAAGAGTTTTTTTGCTACAACTTTGATTTTTTGCAGCTAATCTGATTAGTTGCATTTTTGTCACAATTTTCTAGATTAGGTGCAGGTTTTTTGTCATAGAGTTTTTTTCTTTAGGTATTTTTCTCCCGCAAATAGATTTGCTTTGTTTTTGGGATTGCAATTTTTTAACTACAGTTTTTGGAATGTCACGAACCATTCCGTTTTGTCCCAGTACCAGTTTAAATGGGACAACAAAAGGACAGCACCTTGTCCCGTCCCGTTCCGAACCGTTATTATGAACCGGGTTCAGTACCGAGACAACCTAATATTATCTGTCAAAAAGAAAAATAAAGTAATAAAGTATAAACAAAAGAAATTCTTTAACTTTATTTCCATAATTTATAACTACTACGTATATTTCGGGGAAATAAACAATGTGTTTTTACCAAATATATTTAATTTTTTATTTGATGTATTTTATCTGATGTTTTGTAATATAACACAAATTGTAGGTTTTTGGTTTGATTATTTATATGAAGCATTATGATTACATTATTCATTTGTACTTTTTTCATTTCATATTTTTCAATTTATTTAAAAATAATATTCCCTCCATATTTTAAAGTTTCATACACTTTTCATTTTGGGATGTATTTAAAAGTTCCATACAGTTTACCTTTTTGTAAGTTTTTCCTTTAAAAAATACTCATTTACCCTTATTTCTTTTTTACCTTTTATCATCTATTTCCTACTTTTTCACATTCTTTCATACTTTTTCTATACTATTCCTGACGCCTACTATTCTTCCTTAAATCTTGTGTCATAACCCAACGTATGAATCTTTTAAATACGGAGAGAGTAATAAAAATATAAACTTTTATGTAACTATGTTTTTTTCAAAGTTACTAATTACACTTTTTATATCTATAGTAATTGTTGGGATATTGGGCTTCAGCCCTGATGGACAGTCTACCCGGGGGGTATCTTATCCGAGGGGTTATCGCGGGAATAACTTAGAGAGAAGTCAGAGCAAATAGGAGGAGAGAGAGTCGATTTATTAAATGAACTCAGCGTGGTTTACAAGGAGAATAAGGGCTGCTATTTATAGCAGCAATAAATGCGATGAGAGGACACGTGTCGGTAATCCAACGGCCGAAGGGTCACATCAGCCGGTTGGCACCGGCAGTGGTACGTCCACCGCATTGAATGCGGTTGGCGGATGTGACGTGGTATTAAATGCGGTGGTTGGCTGTCTCTAAAAGGAATCTTTGATGATTGAGGTAGTTCAGCCGAAGGCTCCCGGTGTAGCTGAGGGCTCCATGCGGTGAAGAACCCCTGTGTGGCCGAAGGCCCTGTGTGGCCGAAGGCTTGGTTCAACCGAAGGCTTCTCTGATGCCGAGGGCTTGAATTGCCGAAGGTTCACGTTTTTCACCGTTTTCTCCCAGTAGCTTCCTATGTCAGAGAAGGCCATCCTGTGAGTTCTGGAGCCTTCGGCCAAGGAGGCCGAAGGCACCCCAGTACGTATTTCGGGCTATTTCGGGGCTTGGGCCGTTGCTTTTGGGCCTGAGTTGTTCTCTGGGCTCAACGGACTTGTGTAGGAGAAGTAGGAGTCTATGGGCCGGGGGTTCCTGGGCCGTATACTCCATCAGGAGTCCCTCACTCCTTTTGCCGAAAGGTACTTGAGGGAAAAGGAGTAGATGCGTTGATTCTTCTGGGGGCTTCATCATTTAGTTGGGCGCCTTTGTTTGAGAACTTGCCTTCTGCTGATTGCCGAAGGCTTCCCTCAGTCCCTCACATGTCGAGGGTTTTCTGAGGGAAGTATAACACCTGTATGACTGTCGAAGGCTCTCCTCAGTCCCCCACATGTCGAGGGTTTTCTGAGGAAGAGTATAGATGTGTTGCCCGTATGTGTTGTTATGAAAGGCTGCTTTATTTCCGTGAGTGTGTTGGGAAAATTTTTGATGTACTGCTGCTGCCGAAGGGTATATCGAAGTATGTACCCGAGGGGTTTCCCTTTGATGTTTTGCCCGGGGGCTATATGCGTCAATCGTGGATTATCGCTTGAGGAATTTTTGTTCTGTGTGATTCCCGAGGGGTGTATCCTAGTCCCCCACTCCTTTAGGCCGAAGGCTAGTTCGGGCTGAAGGAGTTATGAAGTGTTGATAAGTCCCCGAGGGGTGATGACATTGATAAGCCGGAGGCTAATGCCGCCGCGGGCTTGAAGACGTTTGGTGGAGGTCGCTGTCTGAAGGCTGCGGAAGCGATAGCCGGAGGCTACCATCCGAGGGCACGCCAGTGTTGCCGAAATGTAGCCGTTGAAATAGAGCCGTTGCAAGAGGGGTCGACGTGGCCGGCTGCCGTTGGTTGAAGGTGGGCGGTATCCACCTATTGGCTGAACCGGCGGCCCGCAATGATGGGCTTTCGAATCGAGGCCCAGTTCTCGAGGCCCAGTTGCCTATAAATACCCCAGAGCTGAGTTCATTTCTTCTTGTGCGTTCATAAGCTCTAGCGAAGCCACTACAACAAAATTGACTTTTTGTAACACTTTATTTGTAACACTTAATTTTTTGTTACATATAACATTTAAACTTAGAATTATGTAACACTTACTTTTAAATGTTGCAAAAACACGTGAATCACACAATTATGCAACACGTACCGTAGAGTGTTACATAATACCAAGTATTATGTAACATTATTTTTAAAGTGTTGCTTTTTATATTAAATACAATCACAAATTATACTTCATATTTATGTGATATTATTGAACAATTTTGCATTTCGCTTGGTGATAAACATCTGGCAAAGTAAAATTTTACTTTGTATTTGTTTGAATTAATTCAATAAATAATTAAATACACAGCTAAATACTAGTAGTAAATACTCCTTACGAAAGTACGAAACTGCAGTCGTCCAAAAAAAAAGTACGAAACTGCAGTTTATCATACTCTGTAATTCTGTATCACTCTCTAATTTCAAGTTTTAACTGCTAACACTATTTACGATTAAAAAAAATACTGCTAACACTATTCGTAATTATCCTTGGTATTTTCCCAAACCTAATTGAGGAGCTGAAGCACTCTCAAAAAACGAGCGCAGATGAAATCAGAAGTGGACTCTACTAAACTAGATTTGATCGCCGCTCTTTCACCGTCGCCCGCCCCTCTTTCACCG